GGGACCGGGCGGGGAGGAGGGGCGCCACGCCGCCGTCCAAAGTACCGGCGGACGGGGACGGGGGCGGGGAGATGGGCGGGGCCTTCGGGAGCAACCTCGGCCAATCGCCGTCTCGCCTCGGTCCGGCCGGCCCAATAGGATAGCGGTGGGTGGAGCGACGTTCAAGGTGAGGTGCGCGGTGCGCTGGGGGCGGAGACGTTGTGCCGTCCCGGCCGGCTCCGGGGCGGGGGCAGCGGGTGGCGTCGAAAGAGAGCGCCGGCTCCCAGCCGAGCCTGGGACGCCTTCCGGCCCAGGATCCCCCGCCCTTCCCTCGGGGCTCCCAGCTCTTCCCCCCCCCACCCCGCCTCCGGGCGCCCCCACGCCGGCATTTACCCCGTAGCGTGCAGCCACTTCTCTGAAGAGGCCGGAGTTGAAGTGGGGCTCTGGGAGCACCTCAGAGCAGAAAACCTATGGAGCCAAAGGGGCTCGTCCGAGCCTCCGTTCCCCTGTTTCTGGGCGGGTCTCAGCCCACTCCAGGCCTGCGAGCCAACGAACGCCCGAGATGAGGGTCCTCCGCTGAGGGCGGAGGCCGAGCTGTGCCCTTCTGAGCGGAGCGCCCTCCCCGCCCTCAGCCTAATATAGATCCCACACCTGCTCGGCTTTCGGGCTTCCGGAACCCACGCTGGACCCCCCACCTCTCGGACAGCCTGCCCGGCACTAGCCAGACCCTTCCCCCGACCCCGCGCTACTCCCCTGGGTGTGCCCGGATCCGCGCGCTCTCACAGTCCCGCTTTACCTTGTGAAGGAAAGGGCCTTTCCTAGCCGCAACCAATGCCCAGACTGGCGCTTCTATCTCGGTTATTCTCTGGGTCTGGAGTGTTGGAATGGGGATCTGACAGCCCCCCTCCCCCTTAGAAGAGGGGATTAAACGAGGAAAGTCCTAAATCATACACTTGGGGACCATCACTGGCTGTTTGGTCTTCAGCAAACATGTATTGAGGCAATAGTCCTAAGTGGTTAAGACCAGATTTGAATTTAAATCTATGGACCTGGCAAATAAACTTGGGCAAGTGAGCTCTCTGTTGCCTCAGTTTACTCTCTTGTCACCGGGTATAATGATAGTACGTATCTCATTAGGTTGTTGTGAGCACTGACAAGTCAGTGCATGTGAAACTCTTAGCTCACTGTAAGTGGTTTATAAATTTTAGCTGCTATTCTCACGTGCTCTAAGAATCTTACAGTGCCCTGTGCTGGGATACAAAGATGAAATAAGACAATTGTGCTTCCTCAAGAAGTTTACAATTTGTCGGGTAGACAGAACTGTAGGAAAATAATTGCCAAACACTGTGATTAAAAACAAGCAAGAGGGTACCCGGGTGGCTCAGTCAGTTAAGTGTCTGACTTTGGCTCAGGTCATGATCCTGGGGTCCTGGGATTGAGCCCTGTAGGGCTCCCTGCTCAGTGGAGAGTCTGCGTCTCCCTCTCCCTCTGCCCCTCCCCCTCTCCCGCTCTCTCTCTCTTTCAAATAAATAAAATCTTTAAAAAACAAACAAAAACAAGAGAGATGCACAGGGGATGGGGTGGCCAGGAGGGCAGTTAAAATTATGCAAGAGAGTTGGTCAGTAACGGCTTCTTATAGTGGGAGATGAACTAGGTCAAGGCAGGCCAGGAGGGCACTAGACATCCCAAACAGCAAGCTTCAGGAGTATGGTTCAGTTTGGGGCCTGGCTGGAGCATAGGAATAGGTGGGGAAGCAGCAGGAGGTGAGCAGGTCAGACCATACAGGATGAAAGGTGTGCTGAGTAATATGGGCTTTAGCCCTATAGGCCATGAGGAGTCCTCAAGGGGAACCATTTGATCAGACTTGAATTTTAAGTAGATCATTCTGGCATGCTGAGTCTCGATTGTATTTCTTTCTTTCTTTATTCATTCATTCGTTTATTTGGGGGGAGAGAGGGAACACGAGCAGGGGTTGCAACAGAGGGAGAGGGAGAAGCAGGCTCCTGGCTGAGCAGGGCGCCCGATGCAGGGCTTGATCCCAGGACTCTGGGATCATGACCTGAGCTGAAGGCAGACGCTTAATCAACTGAGGCACCCAGGTGCCCCGAGTCTGTAGATTTTTGTTATCGATTGAGGTGTGTGAGGTAAAGGACAGCCCTGAAAACACCTTTAACCAAGATGGGGAACTCTGAGGAGGAGATACGAGGATGGAAGGAGGACAAGTTCGGTTTGGTGTGTGTTGTAGGTACTGTGAGACCAGCTGGTGGAGGCTCTCTGAAGATCACTGAAGTGAGGCCAGGCCTTCAGGAACCTCCAAAATGTGAATCAGGAACTCTCAACTCCGACAATGCTGATCTGTTTCTCAGTCTCCAAATAAGCCCAGTATATCTGCCCTGAGGAATTTACACATGCCCAGGAAGCCTTCCTGTCTCCTCTCTGTTTACCTAAATCCTTCCTCACTTTCCCACCCGTGGCCATCCTCACACCAAACTCCTTTACAAGTGGATCATTTCTATTCATCCGGCCCTTGGCCTGGGCTGCTCAGTGGTGGTGACCTCTTTGGGAACGTGCTCGGTCTCCACAGTTAGCATCAGTCAATAAACACTAAGGACTGCGCTGGTCTGGGCTTTGGGCGAGCCCCAGGGTGTAAGTGGCGAGCCAGAGAGACACACAGACTTTGTCCTAGTGGAATTTACACCCCAGCAAAGCCTGGTGTGGAGGAAACAAGACTGAGTGTGAAGGCATCCGGGCTGCTGAAGAAACAAATGGCATGATTTTTTTGTCAAGGGGTCAGAGAAGATCCCCCCCACCTGGAAGAAGTGATTTTTTTAAGGGGAGCCCTGAATTAACTAGACAGTGAGGTGAAGAGGAACATTCGAGGCAGTGGGAATGGTGATGTGTATAGGCAGAATGTGGCCCTGGAAGAGAGTGTGGTATGTTTTGAGACATGGATGGCTGGTAGAGCTGAGTTGGTACAGAGGCCAGCAGGGGCAACGGATCCCCCAGGACCTTGTCAGCCGTACTTAGTCACTCATTCAACAAATGTTTCTTGAGTGTCAAATGTATACCAGGCAATTTTAGGTGCTGGGGTTACTGTAGTAGACAAGCAGATAAGGTGTCTTCTACCTGGGGAGATAGCCAATAAACAGGTAAACAAATACAGAAACAAAGATGTAGGAGGAGGCCTCACTAGAAAGCGTTGTTAGGGAAGGCCTGTCTATGAGGTGACATTTGAGCTGAAGCCTGCAGGATGAGAAAACCAGCTGTGTGTAGAATTGAGAGATTAGCATTTGGGGCAGAAAGTACAAAGGCCCTGTGGTAGGCATGTTTGAAGAACAAAAGAGATCACTTGGCTGGATCGTTGTGATTAGGAAGAGCAGGGTGAGAGAAGGCGGGAGATGGGAAGCCGGGGCCAGGCCTTGTGGAGTCATGTAAGTTGTTAGTACGGAAGTAACCAGATTTCTTTTTTTTTTAAGATTTTTATTTATTTATTTGACACAGAGAGACACAGCGAGAGAGGGAACACAAGCAGGGGGAGCGGGAGAGAGAGAAGCAGGCTTCCCGCCGAGCAGGGAGCCCGATGCGGGGCTCGATCCCAGGACCCCAGGATCATGACCTGAGTCAAAGGCAAATGCTTAACGACTGAGCCACCCAGGCGCCCCTCAGATTTTTCATTTTATTTCTTTAAAATTTTTTATTCATTTAAGTAAGCTCTACACCCAATGTGGGGCTCAAACTCATGACCCAGAGATCCCGAGTCGCACACTCTTCGAACGGAGCCAGTGGGATGCCCCCAGATTTCTTTTTAAAAAAATAACTTTGGTTGCTGTGTGCAGAATGGACTGTAGGGGGCAAGAGTGTAAGCAGGAAGACTAGTTTTAGGAAGTCTTTGCGAAAGTTGAGCAATGATGATGGCCTTGAATAGGATGGGGATGACAGCAATGGGGAAGGGTGCACAGATTTGGAAGAGACACAGGAAGTGGAATGGACAGGTCTGGGTGAGCAAATACATACGGAGGTTTGAAGAGGGAGAGAGAAGTCAAGGCTGATACCCTAGTTTCTAGTTTGAATAACTAGAGGTTGGTGATCATTTTGGGCCTTGAGGGATGAGGTGCCTGCAACATATCCCAGAGGATACACAGAAATCTACACAGGTTTGCAGTTTGGAAGAGCGGACTCTGTAGATACCACCTTTTGGATTAGTTACCTATGGGTGATAGTTGGAGGTTCATAAGGTGACATGAACACCTAGGATAGAATGAAGAGCCCAATGCTAGCAGAATAGACCAAGAAGTCAAGAGACGGACAAGTACCCACTGGATGGAATGATGAACATGCTGGTGAATTTAGAGTCACCCCAGGAGAGTGGTGAGTGGGAGGTGAGGAAATGGGAGACCATGAAGGGCAGTGAGCTTTCCAGCAATTTGGCCAAGAACACCAGGGTGTGGGCCAAGGGAGAGCTCCTGGATGGGGACTAGGTCTCCAGCCCTTGGTGGTTCCAGGAACCTGGCCAAGGCCTGTGCAGGGAAGCCTGTCTATCTTCCTTAACCTCCGAGGGCCAGTCATCTTGGCCCAGCCCACTTCCCATAAGAGCCCTGGGTGGAGTTAGGAAAGTCATCTCTAACCCTGGGTGAGGCTGAAGGCTCAAGATGGGAGGGTCACCCCAACTCCCAATGATAAATCCTTACATGACCAGGGTGAACCCCTGACCCTAATAGTTCGTTGCCCCCAATTTCCCAAGGCAGTGCACTCTGGGAGAAAATAATGTATCTGTTCCCCAAATTTCTGTCTTTAGTGGTCTGACAACCCAAGGTGAACAAACTGAAACGGAAGTGCAATAATAGCACAGAACAATGTGAAGGAATCTTTATGAAGAGAAAGATGGAATCTTTTAGGAAGAGAAAGATGGTTCTAGAGAGAAGGGGCAAACAAGCTGGCTTCGAGAGTCTTTCCCCACTGAACTTCGTGCATCCCCCCTGCACCCCGCCCTTCATTGATTCCAGTGAGCAGACAGCAAGTCAAACCTTTTTCACTTTATTGTACAAAAAGAGGGAAAACAAAACTTCTACAGTTGGCCTTAAGCTTAGGCAGACACCTCTAAGACACTCCCTCCCACCTCCCATGATACAAATTCAAGTTGTGGTTGTTGTTGAAACCTACAAAAACACTCCTTAAATATTAGAAAAAAAGGGGAGAGAGTGGGGGGGGGTCCTCCCACTCCGACCATCCCATCCCAGTGCCAAAATGCACTCAGAGTGACCTCTTACAGCACCAACACCCCCATCCCCACAGCCCTGTTCGTACTGTAAGAATTTTCGATTTTTAAAACGGGGAAAAAAAGAAGTGCCCCATTCGAAGTAGTTTTTAAATGAAAACACATTCCACTAAAACACAACAGCACAGGGGCATTCAAACAGGAAAATGGGGTTCTTTGCAGGGGCTCTTGGGAAGAAATAGAACCTATGAACCCCTATATCAGGGTCAGGACAAAGGAAGGGGAGTGGGAGTGGGGAGTATCCTCCCCTAATTCCCCCACCCCCAGCACCACGTCCAAGGCAAAGCAGATTGTCTGCTTTCCTTTGGGAGTGGGACCCACCTTTCCCATCCCACTCCCTGGGTGGATTCCCACTCTTCCTCCACCCCTTGGCTTTCATTCAGAGGGGGAAGGTGGAAAAGCACAAAGCCCCAACTAAATAGATCATTGACATGATTGTAAGGGGGGGGGAAGCGCCAAAATTTAATCAAAAAGTAAAAATTTCAATCCACAGAGATAAGGTGGCTTGGCTTATTAAGGGTCCAAGGAATTAGGGTACCAGAAATTTTGAGATGGCCAGGAAGGGTTAGAGGGACAGCTGCAAAAGCAGCCTTTGCAGACCCCTTCCCCAGCTGGGGGTTTGGAGGGGTGGGGAAGGGAGCAGACCTGAGAAATCAAAGGGAATGGGGGTGGGGGGTTCTGGAGGATATAGGGAAAGGCAGGAGGGGGTGTATGTTAAGAGCTTCCAATATATTTCTTGAAGCCCAGTTTCTGAGCCTAAGGTGGCCAGGCAACCTCTCAGGTGAACTGGGAAGGCCTTTCCCACTAAATAAAAGGCTCTTAGGTTCACCCAGTCTGGCCCCTCCCAACAATGCCCTGCTGGAGACCAGCGGGCTCAGAGTCGCGTGGCCCTGGCCGAGGGAAGCAGCTACAGGAAGCATTAGAGTGGTTTCAGTACCCCCCCCCAACTGAATCAGTTACCCGCCCCCCCCAACTGAATCAGAGATTAGGCAAAGCAGAGAATGTGGAGAAAGGGGCTGCCCCAGCCTGTTCCCACCAGGATTAACATCTCCCTGGCCCTCACCAACCCATTCACCAGATTCACAGACTGAGGTGGGCTCCCCCTTCTCTTACACACACGCGCGCACACACACACACACACACACGCCTATGCACACATCCACAGGTGCATCCACGCTATGTACAGGCGACACACACGCGCACACTTTTCCATTCGCATCGAGACCATTTTAAAAAAGTTCCAAACCTACCCCCTAAACCCTCCCTCTCCCAGAAATGACAACAGAGACGGCAGCCGAGATCGGTAGGAAACGTCTCGTTGACAGCTCAGAGCTTAAAAAAAAAAAATATACACATATATAAAAAACACTTCTGCCCCCTCCCCCCGTGAGTGGGTCCAGGCAGCTCCTTCCTGCAGAGGGTAGGGGAGAGGGCTACGGGGCAGCGCCCGTTTTTCTCTGAGGCTCCTGCCCTCCTCCCCCCCACGTTCCCTGCCTCCAGTTCCAATGTAGGGGTCCAGTCGGCAAGCCCCTCTGGGAAGGGAGGGCTCTTCCCCAAGCTTCCACCCTCCCGTGGGTCGGGCGGCAGGCACGGAGGGCCTCACCGAACTCTCTGGGACACCCCCCCCCACCCCACTCCCAGGTCCATTGTCCATGACGGAACCGCAAGTGCAGAAGAGGGCTGGGCCGGGCCGGTCCAGTGGTGGCTCAGTCTGATGGGTGCGCTCCCTGGAGGGCCCCCCAGGGCTGGTGTCTCTGAGGCTGCAGAGTCCTGGCCTGGGCTCCTCCAGCCCCTCCCCCGCCAGATTCAAAAAAAAAAAAAAAAAAAAAAAAAAAAAAAAAAAAGAAAAGAAAGGGGGGGGGGGGGGGGGGGGGGGGGGGGGGGGGGGGGGGTGGAGCAGGGGACAGAACATGGGGTAGAAACAAAGGTGGTCAGCTGGGGAGGGGAGCCCTGGGTGGGACCGAGCCTCAGTTGGAATCAGAGTCCGAGGAGTCCCCGGAGGAAGAGGAGCTGGAGCTGCTGCCTTCAGACTCATTGTCCTCGTCGTCGTCGTCCTCCTCGTCGTCGTCTTCGTCCTCGTCGTCCTCCTCGTTCTGGGGGGGCAAGGAACGCGGTCACCAGGTGGCCGTCCGGGCAAGGCCCCCCCCCCCCCCCCCCCCCCCCCCCCCCCCCCCCTCGGGGTCTCTCCCCCCCCCCGCCCCGCCCTGCCACCTGACCTCATCTCCGTCCTCACTCTCGTCCTCGCTGCTCGACTCGGAGGAGTCCCCGCCGTCCTCAGAGGAGTCCCCGTTCTCCTCGTCCTCCTCCTCGTCCTCCTCGTCCTCGTCCTCCTCGTCCTCCTCGTCCTCCTCCTCAGACTCCTGGGAGCGGCGGGGGCACGTCAGTGGTCTCGGCCGCACCCCCCCACGCACGGAGGACGCCCCCACCCCGACCCCGTGTGGGAGGGGCTCCTCACCGACTTGGACTGCAGGGCAGTCCGGCTGGACTTGGGGTTTGGGCCTCGCAGCTTGGTCATGCTCTTACGTTTCTGGGGGGGGAAGGAGGGGGACACAGACGAAGGGAGCAGCCGTGAGTTCCACACATCGGGCCCCCCCCCCCGCCCCCCCCCCCCCTCCCCTTCCCCGGCGCCGCCCTGCTCCCAGACTCACGTTGGAGATGTACTCTTTATATGCTGCCCGGTCCTGCGGAGACAGACTCTGCGGGAGACAGAGACAGAAGGGGAGGTAAACGTTGCGACGCCACCCCAGCCGCAGCCGACCGAGCGCCAGGCAGCGGGCCACGCGCTTACATACCACGACCCCATCTTACCCCTGCTGCTCTCCCCGCACCTTGGGTCTCTGCAGACAGCCCCCCCAGGATCCGAGAACACAGCTCCAATACTACTGCTGGAGACGCCCTGAACCCTTTTCTAGGCTACTACCCCCGCCCTAGGACTATTGGTTTCCGTGTGCCTCCTGTTGTTCTACCCAAGTGGAGGCTCCAGAGTTAGTCCTTCCTCAGCTCAGAGAAGCCCCCACAACCATCACCACAGCTGGGTTATCAACACTCCCACCCCGCAAGCCTGGAGCCACAAATGAGGGGGTCTGTGGCTCCCCAAATCTCTGGACCCTTACACCCTGCTATCTCCCAGGGCCCCCAGTTAACCTGCCTGGATAGCTGGGGAACACAGAGGTGACTCTCCCCATGTTACAGATCTGACTGCTCAACCAGGGCGCAGAAGGGGAGCTCAAGAGGCTTAGGGCCAGACCTCCCGTCCCAGCTGGAGGTAGGAAAAGGCAGTCTGATCTGGATTATTCTACTTACTAGCTGCATGACCTTAGGTAGATTACTTAATCTCTCTGAACCTTGGTTTCTTTGATAGCAGTCATTACCCTATAGGCCTGCTCGGACGCTGAATGAAATCATGAATGCAGACCAGCCAGACGATGCCTCCTCCTTCCAAGGATCCCCAGCCCTCTCACCTTGACCCAGAGGTCCAGGTGTACTTTGTACTGCTTCTGCTGTTCCTCTGCCAGTTTTTTGTAGTGCTCCTTCTGGCTCTGGGAGATGCGCTGCCAGCGGCTGCCTATCTCCACCATGCGCTCTTTCAGCGGCAGGTGGTTCAGCTCCCCGTTGGACAGCAGCTCCTGGGAGAACTTCTGGTAACCGTTCCTACGAGGTGAGGCGGCGCAGGGAGGGTTAAGACGCCGACCCAGCAACCCTCGGGCCGTGACCCTCCCCACGGCCCGGGTGGGTTCCGGCCCTCTGACTCACATGGGAGGCTTCTTCGGTTCTCCTTGGAACTTCATCTTCTTGGACGAGTTTGCAGCAGCGGGGGGCGCCCGCATCTCACTCAGCTCTCTCTGTGGGGACACCCGGGAGGGTCACGCTCGCTCCACTCCTCCACCCGGAAGTACTTCTACCTCCTGCCCCATGCCCTCAGTGCCTTAGAAACCGAGGCAGAGCCGGGGAGCTCACACCTGGGTCAGGCGCCGCCGCTCCGAAGTGCTATCGCCACTACACTCACGTCACGTGTGCCCCCGCCCCCACCTACGGACGTGTAACTGCGGTTCTGAGGAGGCAGGTGGGACATTTGCTCAGGGTCACACAACCAAGGCTGGGGCTCCTGGCTCCGCGGCCCACCCACCGAGGAAAGGGTGCTCTGACCCCTGAAGCGCCGGGAGGCGGCCCGGCCCCACCGAGCCCGCCGAGCCCACCGAGCAGGGCCGCAGAGCCCACTGAGCGCCCCGAGCCCACCGAGCAGGGCCGCCGAGCCCACCGAGCGCCCCGAGCCCACCGAGCAGGCCCACCGGCCCCACCGGCCGGCCCCACCGAGCCCCTTCTTCCCACCTCATATCGCTTTTGGTCTTCGGCTGCCTTCTTAATCCACATCAGCTTCTCTTTCTTCTCCATGTTGTTCCAGGTCATCTCCATGGCTTTCAAGGCCTTCACCCGGTCATTCTGGAGACAAACAGGGGTGTCAGCTATGGGAGGGGTCACCTGGGGCTGGAGGCGGCCTGCGCGGGCAGGCTGTGGAACAGCCCCTCTCAGGCTCCCTGCCACCTTGAAGCGGGCCAGGTAGTCCCCGATGACGCTCTGCTGCCAGATCTCCTCAGCTCTCTTGGGTGACTCCGGCAGCTTGCCCCGTTCCTCACGGTCCCCGCCCGGCTTCCTCTCCGACTGGGCCTTCAGCGCCGCCTCCCGGGCCTTGTACTTGGCCTGCGGAGGGATGGCAGGGGCGTCAGGCTTCCGGCCGCCCCCAGAGGGCGCACGCTCCCTGTCCAGCACCGCAAGGCTCCCTCCCTGCCCCCCCCAACCCCTTGGCCAGGGCGGGGCGGCTCCGAGGCGTGGGCTGGTGCAGATGTCTCCAGCCTGGGGCTCAGCGCGCCGACCAGCTCTGCTCCCTGGGGAGCCCGGGCCCTCCGCTGACAGCTTCCCGCCTTCCAGCTCGCGGAGCTCCCAGCCTCAGCATCTGAGCCCAGGCAGACGTGCGGCTCATGCAGGCCAAGGCTGAGGAAGTGGCAGGTAGCCCCTGGGGGAGGAGCAGCCGGGACCCGGCCCTGGCAGCCCCTGTGGGCCGAGGGAGCCTGACCTTCTTCTTCTCCGACAAGTCATTCCACATGCGGGCCAGAAGCCGGGTCAGCTCGCTCTCCGAGAGCTCGGGCCGCTCCTCTTGCAGCTGCCGCCGCTTCTCCTCAGAGAAGATGAACATGGCTGACACCGGCCGTTTGGGCTTCTCAGAGCCGCCCTGTAGGTGGACAAAGAAGGTCTGGGTCCTGGGGGTGCTGGCGGGGAGCCCCACCTTCCCCCCCACCCCCAGTCAGTTGTGCCCCCTGCGCACCTTGCCCCCTTCCTGCGAGGGCTTCTTGGAGGCTGGGCTGGTGGCTTGCTTCTTGTTGATGCTTAACATCTTCTCCTCCCCGAGGACCCGCTGCTGTTCCTCCTCAGGCAGGCTCTGGTCCGGAGACAAGAGGTGGCATGGGGCTGCGCTCCTGGTTGCCAGCTTGCTCCCAGGGGGTCCAAAGGGCCTTAATCCCAAGGCCCGTGACTGCCCGATGCCCCACCTACAGGAACACTCACCTCTAGGAAACGGAGCAGTTCCACCTCATAGTCTTTCTTTTTCTGGAAAAAGAGGGGGAGTCAGGGTCAGTCTGGGGGTGGACCCGCTGGTTCTCACAGCACAATCAAGATGTCCAGAGCCTGAACAGAGCCTCCACTCCCTCAACAGGCTGTAGACACGAGGCCTGAGGCCATCCACCTTGAGCAGCCCAGGTGCTAGACCCAGCACACCACCAAGTTTGGAGCAGGGGCCCGAGATCCGTTTGCCCAATAACCAACAGACCCTAGCTGGGGTCAGATCTCCTGCTTCAACTCCCAAGGCCAGGCCTATGCGTCTCCGGAAGGCCTCCTTAGCACAACTTACCTGGTCACACTTCTTGTGGTAGGCATCCTTCTCCTTCTGGGAAAGCAGCTTCCACTGCTGGCTGCAAAGGACCATACGTTCGGTGCTGGGCACGTCCTTCATGTTGGCCATCAGCTCGGCGCAGTACAGCGAGTAGCTGTTCCTGTCAGAACCAGCAGGAAAGGAGATGTGGCCTCCCCGAGTGACCAGGGCAGCTGGCTTCCTCAACTTCAGAGCCTGGCCAAGCTCCCTAGATGCCCACTGGCCCACTCACCCCCCCACCCCCACCCCAGGGCAGCGCTCACGGAGGTGGCTTGGTGGGTCGCCCATCAAACTTGTCCTTGAGCTGGCGTTCGGCCTTCGTGAGGGTGGACTTGGTGATGCCCTCCTCACTGATGTTCAGCTCAGGGTGCTTCTGGATATAGTCACGCATAATCTCCTGCAGAGTGAGGTGGGGGGATGGAGGGCAACGGGGTGTGGGGTTAGCCGGGGCCAGGGTGGGGCGGGGAGAGCCGCTGGGGAGGGGAGGCAGGGAGCAAAAGCTGGGGGGTGGCCGTGTGTCTGCTATGTCACACGAGATATGGCGCCCTGCCCTGCCCTAGCCTGAGATCTCATGGGGGGGGGCAGGGAAGGTAGGGGCAGAGGTGAGGGGCCCAGAAGGCCCCTCCCTCAATGGAGGGACAGGGAGTGACCGCCTCCCGCAGAGTGCGGAGGCCAGAGTCAGAGGGCAGAGGCTCTTGAAGAGCCGGATGGGGAGGAGCGCAGCGGAAGCCTAACCTCGTACTCCTTCCGCTGCTCCAGGGCCTTATGAATCCATTTCAGCCTCTTTTTGTCCGAGAGCTGAGACCACTGCTTCCCCAGGGAGTCCTTCACCTCCTTCGTAGTGGCCTGCAAACCAAAAGCCGTCAGACACACACAGGCAGCCAGGGGCAGGGAGAGGGGCGGGGGGAGGGGGGCACAGAGGCCCCCGCCCCCTCAGGCCACAGGAGGTCACATGAGTGTCCCCCACAGGCCAGGAGGGGAAAAGTGGAGAGGCGGGGGTCCCGCCTAGGTGCAAGGGGACAGGCTCACGCACGCACGCACGCACGCACGCACTCGCACGCCAGCTGGCCCAGGCCCTGTCCATGCAGCCCAGCCCTGGGGAGGGGCCTCCTCTCCTGCTCCCCTGCACCGTGCGCGGCCGACCTGGCGCGGCTCCCCCCTGGCCACCACCACGCGCCCTCCCCTTCCCCCCCCCCCGGCCGGACACTCACGTCGGGCCGCACTTTGAGGTACACCTTCTTCTCGTGGGTGTACCACAGCTGCTGGGGGGTTTTGGGCTTCTCGGGGATGTCCGACTTCTTGGCATTCTGGATTAGGTCAGGGTGATCCTCCCTAGCCAGGGCGTGGGGAGCGACAGTCAGCGGGGGCTGGGGGGGTCCTGCCAGGGAGACCCCGGCTAGCTGCCCCACCCACCGAGGCTTGCCGGCCTATCAACTGGGGCCGAGTGGGACGGTGGCTACCTGCCTGTCCCTGCCGTAGAGCATGAGCCACTAGGGTCTACACGTGACCCATCCGTCTTCCATGCCTCACAGATGGCAAGCCTGGGGCTCTGGTCAGGGTTACCCTATCCTGCCACACCCAGTGCCCTGTGGCCCTCCTCTGGGCTCCACTGCCTTACCTGAACCGGGCCAGGTTTCGCTCGAACTCCTGTTTCTCTCTCTGGAAGTCCTGAATATATTTCATCTGGGGGAGGAGGGGATGGGGTCATCCACGACCCAAAGCCTGAGCTATAAAAGCCACTGAGTCTTTGCTATTTTGCCTCCCGGCGGTGACGTGAACAAACCGAGGGTGGCGTGAGCTGGCAGGGGATGGTGGCCTGCCTTCCAGTGGGCTGGGGAGACTCAACCGTAGCCCAGACTGTTGGCTTAGAACCAAACAGTGGGAGCTACTGGGGTCTCCCAGAACACACTCTACATCCTACTCCCTCCTGTTGAGAGGGAGAGTCCCAGAAGCGGGACCCGGCCTCACCCAGTCCCAGTGAGCAGTGACAGGGCTGGGACTCCCCCGGACCCTACCAACCCTACCTCCCCCAGTTTCCCCGACACCGCAAAACTCCCCACGATGAGTCAGGAGGTGGTACAGGCCTTGCCCCTATCATTCCCTCCTCCCATGTCTGTGCCAGCTGGTACTGGTCTCTGCCTCCAAGGTGGCCCAAAGGGCCGGGGGGGGCAGGCTGAGTCCTGCTTTCAAGGCCTGAGGGGAGACGGTGTTGAAGGCACCCAGGGTGAATTCTTGCAACGTAAATGACATGTAATAGTCTGGTCTCCTGAATTTGGATTTTCTTCCCAATCCACTGAGTGGTTCCTCCGGTCCCCTGGCTATCCTTCACGTGCCTTCCCCATTCTGAACCCCCTCCTGTCACCTTCGTCCTGGCTCCTAGCTGGCGGGCTCCTCCAGCCCTCCCCCCCGCCCCCCACTGGCGCTCCTCTGCCTTGGCTTCTCTTCGTTCTCCTCCACCTCCTTCTGTAGGGCTGGCCTCCGCTCCCGCCATCACCCGATTACTTCCCTGTTTTGTTCCTGCCTCTCCATTCTTCACCCTTCCTTTCCCACTGGTCCCTTTCCTCTCCTCCTCGACTGACTACCACTCAACATCCAGGTCTCCTTTCTCCCTTTCCCCCCTGAGTCACAAGAGTCAGCCCTGGAAGGGTCCAGGGGCTCACAGCAACTGAGCTCAACCCCTGCCTCTCCCAGAAGAGGCACCAAGCACAGGAAGAGACAGCCTTACTTTCCCCTGTGATTACTGCAGAGAACGGGGAACAGAGCCCAGTCCACTCCGCCCGTCTCAGTCCTCACACAGAACAGGAAGTCACGCACAGGGTTCACGCACAGGGTTCACGCACAGGGCTGGGCTTACCCTCCGCACCTCAGATAAAGACCAGGTCCAGAGAAACGAAGGAACTTACCGCAGGTCACACACAGAGCAATTGAGGGGTAGTCACGAGAACGGGCCCAAGTCTTGGGTCCCCCAGGCCAGCACCCTGTCCACTCTACCGCGTAGTGTCTTAGCCCTCCCTGGTCCTGGGACCCTCGGCCTCTGCCTCCCACACCCTGAGTGTCTGGGTGTCGTGTGTACAGTCTGCTCTGCGACCTCCCCATCAGAGGGGCCAAGGAGAACTCCACCACTTCCTACCCCGGCTGGGCCTGGGCGGCAGTGGTAGACAGCTGGTTTCACCCCGCCAAGCTGGCTCCTTTTCGGGTACAGAACCAAGGGGGCATGTGAGCCTGCAGCCAGAGTGCACGAACCGGGAAGACGGAGGGCTACACACGAGGCGGCGGCCAGTGCCGCCTCCTGAGAGCTGGCTGTGTGCGGCTTGGTCTCTTCTTCCCGCAAGTGGCTCCGTGGCTCCGCCTCGCAGCCCGGCACCCTTGCTGTCCTTCTCCGTCCCCCCCCCCCCCATCTCGCTCAGGGCCCGGCTGCAAACCTCAGGGAGGGTCCATTTGACCTCACCGTGTGGGACTGGCTCCAACCCTGCCTGGGAGACTGGGGTAACCTCTGCCCAAGGTCAATGCTCTCTGACGGCCCGGGACAGCAGGAGGCCACAAGGGACACGGGGCATCCTCGGGCAAAGGTGTGCGTGGAGGAAGGAAGCCCACTTCATGTGTGGACGTGGCAGCGAGAAGCGCTCCCGAGTCCTACTCCACTGTCACTAGTGGGGGACCCAGGACAGGAGTCCCTCCTGAGCCTCAGTTCTGCGCCCACACAATCAGAATAACCCCTTCTCCAGGGGTTCCCTGTATGGGGACACTGCGTGCATCAGATGAGACCACAGTGGGAAACGTCAGAGGATGAACCGCTGGGCCAGCCTGACAGAGCATGTGAGCACAGAAGCCGAGCTGTATGAGAGAACACCGTGGACTGTCTGTGGGGTAAAAGGCTGGACTGAGCACCTGCTGCAGTCCGCGTTACGCCTTCGACAGTGCCTGTACCTGACCGTGTGTGGGACTGGGAGGAGGAGATCGAATGTGGCTGCCCGAGGCCCTACACTCTGCTCTGCTGACCCACCCCCACCCCTGATGCCAAGTCCCTCTAAGCCTCCCCCCGCAGTTGGCCTACACTGCACCAGCTGCTCCCTGCCTTTTCCCTCCTCCCCGTTTCACCCCCCTCCCCCCACCTTCTTCTTCTCTGGCAGCTCCTTGTATTTCTTGGACAGAATCTTGGTCAGGTCCAGGTTGCTCATCTCGGGGTGGAGCTTCGCGTACTTGGCCCGCTTCTCCATGAAAAAGCGGAAATAAGGGGTCAGGGGCTTCTTTGGGAAGTCCGGGTGTTTCTGGAAGGAGGGTCAAGGACACGGTAAAAGTCAGACAGTATCCGTTCTTTGGCCCATTCCTCTCCTACATGTCATGCTCCTCTTCCTGGAAACTCACCTTGAGTTTTTTGCCTTTGTAAGGATTTTTTACATGTTCCTGAGCATCAAGGATCAATTCTGTCAATGTTCGGAACTTCCTCACCTGGAGGAAGACAGGAGGTGAGTGCAAAGGGAAGTTCAGAAAGGGAAACACCACCCCAGAGCATACCCCCCTTTTCCAACGGGTCTCCTCTGTTTTCCACTAGACTGAATTTATCAAAGGGGGAAGGGCAGAGGCCAACAGCCACCACTCAGCCCCTGACACCGAGGCGCTGGCCCATGCCTCTGGCAGAGGACCAGGCAGTCCATACACACCAAAGGACAGCAACAAGGTGACCACCTGACCTCGATGTGTTGTCCATGCCAGCACCTCATTCAATCCCCAGAACAGCTCAGGCGACAGAAGCTCCAAGACGGTAAGAATTCAAGGCCACACAGCTAGAAAGTGGCAGAACTGAGAACTCTAGGCTGGCGCTGTCAACCGTGCCGCCTCCCAAATGCACAAAGGCAACCACATGAGCACCTCGCCTGGTCTCTTTCCTTCCTGTTTATAGACTTCTGTTTCCTCTCCCCCACCAGGAAGGTTGAGGCAGGGGTTCGTGTAGATGTGTCAGGAAAGGGGGGGGGTTCAGTTACCTCGTTAGAAATCTCCACCCATTTGAGCTTGCACATGTCTCCAGAAAAGTCTTTAAATGCTACTTTTTCCCAGTCCATATGTGACTCGGTGGTTTTGAACTTGGAGCTGTCATTGGATGGAAGGTTGTTCTTCATACATTCCAGCAAAGTCAACATGTCTTCCTGAGACCAGCGGTCTGGGGAGGGGTAAGAAAGGCAATCATACCCAGCTCATGCTTTCCCCTCATCTGTTGCCCCCGTCCTTAAGTGCTCAATCCTTCTTTCCCAGAGCATCCCAAATCCCTGGTTACCTCCGATCTGAAGGCAAAGACACGACATGACCTAGTCATAAGGGAAAACTGTGACCATATGGATTAGAACAGGAATTCCAGTCCAAACAGCATCATACCTAGAAAGCCAGACTTGAAGTCAGGTCTGGCTTACTTCAAAACTATGATCATTTCTAACATGCCAGACTGCCGCAGGCTACTGTTTATTGTGGGGAAGAGAAAGAAATGAAGCTACAGTGATTTGGGGCCTGGTGGGCCAGCAGGGAACTTAATGGGAGAGGGGAGAGAAGCAAGGAGACAGAACACATCTAAATGTGTTGCCAAGTTTAAGCTCTAGGTGGATCCCATAGATGTGCAAGGACTGAGGATGGAGTGTGGGAAGCAGACCCGTGCAGACGTCTCCCTCCTGCACAACTGTAAACTAATATCAAAGATGTGAGTAATTTGGGGCAAGTAAGGAAAATGGAATGGAAATGGAAGAACCATACAGGACAGCTGGGAGGCAAGACAGACAGGTGGGCAAAGGCTCTCAGGGCCCTGGCTCCAGGGAGAACCCCCAGAATTCTGAGTTGTCTTCTGGGTCCAACTCCCCATGGAGGCCAAAAAAGGGGTCTGAACCAGCTATTTCCAGCCACTGAAATACAGCTCCAGTAGGCCTCTCTGGAGGGTAGCAACCCTGAAAAGTAAGCTGGGAGAACAGATATCCAGGGCTGGGAGTCAAAAGGGCTCTTCATTTGCATTTGCATCTGGTAACCTGGGTCAGAGTTTCCACAGGGTGGGTCACATGGGCCAATAATCCTCTCTCCTCTCAGTGTCCCCCAGTCATGGCCAGATGCTCAGCTTCATCCTACCCCATGCCCGCATACACACAGGATCCCTACTGGATGGGGTAGGGTCTAGTTATGGACCTCCTATGGCTTGGAGTCTCAAACCCCCAAAATATCCTCTCCGTCCACCTGCCTGACCAAAAACCTTGTCCTCTGAATAACAATAAGACACCTGAAAAGCCTTCCCAATCCCTTTCTTCTCCCCCCTTCCCCCACATTCCTCATCCTTCCTCCCATTCCAGGACACTGGGTGAGGAGAGGACACACTCTGGCCTGACTGGGAACCCCAGAAAGAAGGCTTGCACAGGCCTCCTTCTCCCTCTCTAACCAAAGAATGGAGTGTGAAAAATACAGCTTATAGCCTCAAGGCCAAATAATTTGGGTTTAGCCAAACTTGACTCATAAAACTGAAGATATCCCCCCTCATCTCAATTCAGAGAATGCAGGCGACGCTTTTCCAAGGGGAGTGGGCCCTGCAGACAGCCATGTGGGAAAAGAGGACATAAGTTAAAGAGCTCCTACCTTGGCCTTTGGGGGCGGCCATTTCCAGGTCTGTGGGGCAGTCAGCTTCTCCGTTCATTCTTTAGCCGTCCAGCCACCTCCTCCAGCCACCTCCTCGGGTCGTGCTGGCCGGGCAACCCGCGGTAAAACCACCTCACCCTTAAGGAGAAACACCAGTCCCCACTCAGGCGGGATGCGAGGTGAGGGACTTTCTATTCCTCCCTCCCCCAAAGGGGAGGGGGGCACAAGTCCACACTCTCGCGGAGGCCCTGCCAAGACCCTAGCAGACCTAATGGGTCGGTGGGTGTGGGAGTGCGCCACCACCCCCCCCCCGCAGCCCGGCTCCACCGCGTGCGCCCTCCCCTGCCCACGCGAGAGACTGCCCCCAGCCCCCGCGGCAACCTCGCCCCCCCCCCCCCCCCCCCCCCCCCCCCCCCGCCCAAAAAAAAAAAAAAAAAAAATCTCCTCCTCCTCTGTGCGCCCGCCCCGGGGAGGCCCCAGGCTGGAGGGCGGGGGAGGAGGAAGGGCGGGTAAAGGGCGCGCGCGACCGCGGAAGCGGGCACGCGCTGCAGTCTCCTCCTCCCGCCTCCCCCCGGCCGGTTCCCCCCGCCTCCGCAACCCGGCGGGGACCCGGACGCAGCGCAGCCGCCGCCAGCCCCGGAGCGCAGCGGCCGCACCGCCCCCGGGGACCGGATCCGGATTCCCGCCGCCCCCCCTCTCGGGCTCCCGACGCCGTCCCCGCCCGCCTCGGCGGGCGAGCAGCCGGAGAGAAGCGGCCTAGCCTGCCCCCCCGCCCCCGAGCCACCCACCCCGGTCAGAGGCGCCGCCACCGCCCAGCCACCCCGACGCGCACGGAGGAGCCCGGCGCAGAGGCGCGACCGCGGCGGGAACCACCGCCTCCTCCCCCGAGCTTGCGGCCCAGCCCCGCCGGCGCCCCCGCCCCGGCCTCCGGGGAGCCGAGCCAAGGAGAGGGCGGGAGGACGGCGGCCGCGAGGCGGGGGCGCAGCGCTCACCGGCCCCGCCGCCCCCTCCGGCGGCCGGTGAGAACTGCGCCTGCCGGCTCGGAGAAGCGCGGGCTCCTGTGCCCGCGGCCGGGGCTCGGCTCGGGCCTCGCTTCCTGCCCTCCCCTCCCCCGGCTCTCAGCGTCCTCTCCAGTGCCCTGATCCTCCTCCGTCCAGTCCCCTGCCTGGAGGGCGTCCCGGGTTCCCCCCCGGTGTCTACGGCACCCGCGGTTCGCTCCCCGCCGCCTGGCCCCGACCCCGGCGCGCGTCCTCTCAGCCGCCTCGGTTACCCGGCGCAGCGCGGCCTCCGGGCTTCCCGCTCCGGCGGCTCCCTCCCCGGCTCTGAGCGGCGGCGCCCTCCCCCGCTCGGCCGGGCACAGCCGCAGCTCCCTCCCGCGGCGGCAGCGGCTCCTCCTCCGGGCGCGGCGGCGGCGCTGGGGCGGCGGCTGCTGCTGTGGCGGCGGCGGCGGCTGTGGCTGCTGCTGCTCCTCGCGGCGAAAAGCACAAAGCACAGCGCCCTCCGCCTGCAGGCAGCCCGCCCGCCGCCCGCCCGCCGGCCCCGGCCTCAGCTCGCACACCCCCCGCCGCCGCCGCAGCCTCCGCCGCCGGAGCGGGGAGGAGGAGGGAGAAGGGAGGAGGAGGAGCGGGAGGGGGGGCGGGAGAAGCGGGGCAGCGAGCGCGTCCTTCCCCGTAGAGCGCACACCGACCCCCGGGGAGCGAGCGCCAGCCCGCCCGCCTCGCCGGCTCCGCTCCCTCCCACAGCCTGCCCGGGCGGGCTCCGCGGGGGGCAGCTGGGAGGAGGGGCGGGAGCTGGGGGGACCCGGGCGGCCGAGGCGGAGGGAAGGAAGGAGGGGAGGGGGGTGGTGGTGGTAGTGGTGGTGGTGGTGGTGGCGGCGGCGGCGGCGGCTGTTGCTGCTGCTGCTGCTGCTGCCGCTGCCGCCGCCGCCGCCGCCGCCGCCGCCGGGGAGGGGGGGGCCGGGGCAGGGAGACACGCAGCCGCCCGGATGGCGGCGGGGCTCGGAGCCGAGGCGGGCGGGCGGGCGCCGAGAGCGACCTCGCCAGACCCGCGGGTGAACTAGCAAGGTTGGCCGGCGCGGGAGGGAGGGCGCGAGGCGCGGCCGCAGAGAGGGTGCCCGGAGGGCCCCCCGGCGGTCGGGGAGGCTGAGGGGTGCCCGCAGCTCTGCTTCGGAGCTCTCCCCCAAGTCCTCCCAGCTGAGATTCGGGCTTCACGGCAGTCCTCACTTCGCTCCCCTCTCCCGCCTCCTGGAGCGGGCGCTCCGCGCCCACCCTCTTCCCCGGAGCGTGGCCACCGGCTTGGGGCGCACGCACGCCCATCGCGGCGCCAGCCTTCGGCGCCCACCTCGCGATCCCCTTGCTGCCGAACAGAAAACACACGAAACTTAAAAAAAAAAAAAAAAGAAAAAAAACGTACAAAATGCCCTCCCTGCAAATTAAAAAAAAAAAAAATCCCTTTTGCTCCTTACACCCCGGAAACGGCGAGGGAGCGACGGGCTTCGGCGGAGGAGCCGCGCTGGGAGCCGGTTCAATCCAGCCCGGCATGGCTCCCCAGGCCTGTCCGGGCGCATGGAGATCGGCGCCGCCGCCACTCGCAGCAACCCCTCTCCCCCGAAATCCGCGGAGCCCGGGCTCACTTACCGAGCGTGTGAATGGGAGCGCGGGCCAGGGGCACCGAGGGGTGCGGCGGGCCGAAGAGCGGAGCCGCAGCTCCGCCGCAGCCGACGCCGGGGCAGCGAGTCGCCAGACAAAGCCCGAGATGGCGAAGCGGAGCGACGGCTAATGGCGAGCCCCACGCGCGGCGCTCCGCCCGCCCCGCTCCGCCCGCCCGCCCGCCCGCCTCGGCGCAGCGCAGCGCCGCTCCGAGCGCTCGCCCGTCAGAGCCGCCTCGGCGCCGCCGCCTCCGGGGCCACCCCGGCCTCGCCTGGCCCCTCCGCCTCCTCCGGGCCACTCAGCCTCACCCCCTTCCCTCCCACCGCGATGGGGGCTGCACGAAAATAAAAAAAAGAAAAAGAAAAAATGCTTTTCTTTCTTTTTTTTCTGGTGGGGGGGCAGGGCGGGTGTGTTGAGACTTTTGGGGTTTTTGCCCCCAGCTCGCACTCACCTGCGGAGCCGCCGGGAGGGCTGGGGGTGGGGGCGCGCGGGGCTGGAGCCGGCGAGCGCGGGTTGAAAGCTAGCCAAGCTCTGCAGCGCCCGACCCGGGCGTAGACGCCGCCGCCGCCAGTCCCCGCAGAGAAATCGTCCTCCTACCCCCGCCTCCATCGCTCTGCGTTTCTCTTCCAATCAGCCGGTCGCTTGGCGGCTCCTCCATTCTCCGGCCAAGCCCGCTGCCTAGAGCGAGCTCCACTCCTCCATCTGCTAGCCCGGCTCCTTGCTCCCCTGCCGGGGCCGGCGAAGCGACGTGGGGCCGGAGGGGGATTTGCGAGGGAACCTGCCTGCTTCCCGCTCCCATTGCTCCCTCCCCGCTGCCTTCTGCCTCCTGCTTCTCTCCTGCGTCTTTCCAACTCTCCCCTGTCGCCACTGGTGTGTGTCTGAGTGTGTGCGCGGTTTTTTTTTTTTTTTATTGCTCTTTGCTTTTGCAACCCTGAAGCCAAAGCGAGGGGGTGGGGGATAAAGGAGGGGGGTGTTACAAAAAAAAAAAAAGGCAAGAAAGAAGCTCTTAGATTTGCAACACATTGAAAAACCGGGGGAGCACCCCGCCTCGCCCGGATCTCGACTCCCCGCGAGGGCCTTCCGGGTTTTAGAGCGAGCCTCTCGTTGTTCTCAAAGCCCCTCACCTCCGCCGGGTTTAGGATCCGAGGTGTCCGAGCAAAAAGTTCTCCCCCTGGGCCGTAGCATGGGGTGTCAGGGTGGGAGTTAGGGGGATTTCTCAAGAAGCAGCAGCCATCCCCCCCCCCCCCCGGTTTCGGTAGTTGGGCCGGGGTTGGGATAGAGAGCCTAATCCGGGTGGGTCTGCGCGAAGGGGCTTCCGAGGCGAAGTGGGAGCCGGGAGACCGCGCTTCGTGCATGGCCCCCTCGGTCGCTGCCTCCTGTCCCCAGCCAGCTCCCCCTTTAATTTTTTTTTTCTCCCCTCTCCTTTAATCTAATTTCTTCCAACTCCACCTTTGTTGTTACCGGCGTCACGCCCGGACCAGCCAATCCCCGCCATGCAATCAGCTTGTCAAAAAGGCTCGGCCAGCCCTGGGAAAGCAGGCCGCGGGCGCTGCTCCCCCCCCCGTTTCTCCCCCCGGCGGCGGCGGCGGGGAGCCGCGAGGGGAGCCCGGCACCCGGGCCTGGCCGCCCGAGCCGCCGCGGGCAGCCTTCGCGTAGGCCTCCCGCACTCCACCGTCCTGCGGACCGGGGGTCGAAAGGCCCGGGCGGGGACCACCATCCACCCTCCCACTGCCGAGGGCTGCGGTCGTCCGTCTCTGCCTCCCCTCCTCGGAGGAAGGGTTGTCAGGAACGCAGGCAGCCAGAAGACTGAAGAGCGCCTGCTTCCCACAGGCTCGCCTGCGGTCTGGGCCGTCGCTCCCCGGGCAGCGCCATTGCTCCGGGCGCCGGGGGCTCGCAGGCTGCCGGCCTCCCGCCCCACACTGCGTACTGCCCACAGCGCGGCCAGCTGGGTCACCAGCCCCTTTGGACCCTCCCCGGGCACACGGCCTTTTCCATCCTCACTCAACGGCCCCGCTGCTGCTGTAATTCCTCTCGTCTCCTGGGAGAAATGGGATTCCTTTCCCAGGACTTCCACAGCCCACATCTGCCACGTTTTACAAACAGGGAGGAAACCCCGGTCAAGATCTGGTGTGACCGGATTTTTGAGAGGGCTGGGCACGTGGGAGAGGCCGATTTACCTTGTTGCTAATGATGCTTGAGCTAATGGCCCCTCATTTGCGGGCCCCGTGCAATGCCCTGTTCGTAATTTTATTTCATCGTTTGGTATTATTTTTGTTAAAGACCCCCCTTCATTGTACAAGTTAAGTCTGCACAAATCCAGCTCTGCCCTTGGAACATACCCAGGGCATTTTGCGTAGGATCAATCCATCTCAGACTGTACTTAGAGAAGGCAGGGACTGACTTTCTTATTTTGACTGGGAAAGAGCAAAGTGTTTGGAGTCAGAAGTCACAGCTCCCAGCTTCTTAGCTTCCCCACCTTTTTTTTTTTTTTTAAGATTTTATTTATTTATTTGAGAGACAGAGAGCATAAGAGGGAAGAGGGTCAGAGGGAGAAGCAGACTCCGCGCTGAGCAGGGAGCCCGATGTGGGACTCGATCCCGGGACTCCAGGATCATGACCTGAGCCCAAGGCAGTCGCTTAACCAACTGAGCCAGCCACCCAGGCGCCCGACTTCCCTCCCTTTTTAAACAGTGTGTGTTTGATCAAGTCTCTTAACTTCATCTGATCCTGTTTCCTTGTCTATAGAATGAGAATAGCAATCCTGTGTTCTCTGCTTTCCTCCCAGGGGTTGGAGGGTCAACTGAGAGGATGTATATAAACTGTAGAATGCTCCACAATGTCACTTGCCACAATTGAGAAACTTAGATCCCAAGAAAGTTCCAAGTCTTCCACACAGAGATCTGGAGTCCAGGTGTCCTGGATCCTGGCCCTGAGCTTCTTGGCTGGGCCAAGGGGCCTTTCGGTAAAGTGCTCTGGAATAAAACAGGATGAACATGAATCATAAAAATGATTATTATTGATTTTTCATTCCTTGGGCAGCAAAAGTCATGGCTGGCGCTCTTCCCACTTGGAAACCAACTGCCTTGTTTTACATCTATTGCGTCTCTGGTGAGGTCGGGAGTCTAGGACTTGGGCTATGGGCCAGAGCATGAGGGAATCTGCCCTTGGTCCTTTTTCTTTGCCCCCTCTCCCAATTTACCCTCCCTCCGTTCCAGTTTTCTGCCGTGTACCTTGAAGCAGAGTCTCAGCATTCCACAAGCCCAGCCCAGGCTGGTGACAAGGCATAATCCTAGCTACACACTCTCCACTTGGGCCCAGCCCTTCCCTGGGTTGCCAGTATCCCAGCACCAGCTCACATCAAACCCTGAAGTGTGCCTGGAATGCATTAACCAAAGTGTGGTGCTTGAATTCCTAGTGAACGCGGAGCAATTTATTTATTTATTTATTTATTTATTTATTTAAGGGTATACAGATGAATATGATTTTCAGTTATGTATTTTCACGTGTATTGGAAATGTTCTGTTTTTTAATGTTTATTCAAGATGATGACATAGACTTCTTCCTTTTTTTCCCGAGCTGCTGTCCCTTATTTCTTTTTTACTTTTCTCTTAAAGATTTTATTTATTTGAGAGAGGCGGAGACAGCACTTGTGCACTAGCAGGGGGGAGGGGCAGAGGGGGAGGGAGAAGCAGACTCCCCACTGAGCAGGGAGCCTGATGCGGGGCTTGATCCCAGGACCTCAGGACCCTGGGATCATGATTTGAGCCAAAGGCAGATGCTTAACCAACTGAGCCACCCAGGCGCCCCTATTTTTTCTTTTTTTATAGATAAAAAATAAGAAATAATAAATTTTTCCTTTTTTTACAGATAATAAAGTGCCCACGTTATAAGTTTACTGTTTGATTTTTGTACATGTATACATAGCATATCATTATATATATATATAATATAATGGCCACCCAGATCAAGGTATGGAATGTTTCTAGCATCTAGCAAACTTACTCAAAGTCAGTATTCCCCTCCAAATGTCACCAGTATTCTGAGCTCCATTGCCATAGAGAGAGAAATTTAGCCTTTTTCTGGAGTTCATATATGTGGAATCGTACGTATGTAATTCCTTTACACCTAGCCTCTTTCATTCAATGTTATGTCAGAGATTAATTTGTGATATTGCATGTAGCTGTGGTTCCTTAATTTTCATCGCTATGTAGTATTCCATTGTATGAATATGTCACACTTTATTCTTTCTAGTTTCCATGGTCATTTGGGATGTATCCAGTGTTTTATTATTAAGAATAAAGCTGCTTCAAACATTCTTGTGCATATCTTTTGGTGGATGTATGCATTCATTCCTCCTGGGTATATTTCTAGGAGTGGAATTCCTGTATCATAGAATATAAATATATTGGACATTAATAATATTGCCAAATGGTGTTGTCAATATTTTTGGATTTTAGCCCTGCTAATAGATGTGTAGTGATAGCTCATTATTTTAATTTGCAATTCCTTAATGGCATATGATGTCAAATATCTTCATATGCTTAGTTGCTCTCTGCAGATCTCTTTTGGTGAGATGTCTGTTCAGACCTTTTGCCCATTTTTCTTTTTTTTTTCTTTTTTTTAACCTTTTGCCCATTTTTCGATCAGGTTGTGCATGTTCTTATTGTTGACTTTTAAGACTTCTTTGTGTATTTTCAATAATAATCTGTTATCAGATATATCTTTTGCAAGTATTTTCTCCCAGTCTGTGGCTTGTCTTCTCATTCTCTTGACATTGTCTTTTGTAGAGCAGAACTTTTTTTTTTTTTTAAATAAAATGCAGTTTATCAATTATGTCTTTCATGCCTTTGGTATTGTATCTAAAAAATGATCACCACTTCCAAGGTCATCTAGGTTTTTTCTTATGTTATCTTCTGGAGTTTTATACTTTTGTGATTTACATTTAGAGCTATGATCCACTTTGAGTTAATTTTTTGGTGACAGATATCAGGTCTAATTAGATTAATTTTTTTTTTTTTTGCATGTGGATGTCCAGCACCATTTGTTGAAAAGACTATCTTTCCTCCAATGTATTGCTTTTGCTCCTTTGTCAGACAGTTGACTATATTTATGTGGCTCTATTTCTGGGCTCTCTATTATGTTTCATTGATCTGTTTGTCTATTCTTTTGCCAATACCACACTGTCTTGATTACTGTAGCTTTATAGTATGTCTTGAAGTCGAGTAGTATCAGCTTTCCAGTTTTGTTCTTCTCCTTCAATATTGTATTGGCTATTCTAGGTCTTTTTCCTCTCCATATAAACCTTAGAACCAGTTTGTCAATAACCACAGAATAACTTGATGGGATTTTGATTGGGATTGCTTTGAATTTATAGATCAAAATGGCAAGAATGACATCTTAACTATATTGAGCTCTCTGGGGTGCCTGGGTGGCTCAGTGAGTTAAATGTCTGACTTTAGCTCAGGTCGTGATCTCAGGGTCCTGGGATTGGGACTTGTGTTGGGCTCCTCGCTCAGTGGGGAGTCTGCTTGTCTCTCCCTCTCCTTCTGCCCCTTCCCCCATTCATGCTCTGTCTCTCTGCTTCTCTTTCAAATACATACATACCTACATACATACATAAAATCTTTTTAAAAAACCCAAAACAATATTGAGCTTTCCTATCCATGAACATGGAAATCTCTCCATTTAGGTAGTTCTTTGATATCTTTTCTCAGAGTTTTGTAGTTCTCCTCATATGTTCTTATACATATTTTGTTAGATTTATATTTAAGTATTTCACTTTATTTGAGTGTTAATATAAATGAGAATACATTTTAAATTTTAAATTCCTCTTGTTTATTGCTGGTATATAGGAACGTGATTGACTTTTGTATATTAACTTGGTACTA